GTTTTGTTTTAAAACAGACAAATGTGTTAATTTTCTCTTTATCCTGAGCAGCTGAGTGATTATGACGTGCATTTTCGGGTGCGTACTTCATACTCTCGTGTTTATAGGTAACGCGAATTTGGGATACATTTTTTGCTAACGATTCAATTCCGCCAACTTGCTTGAGCCCATAAAAACGAATATAAAGCTGCGAGGTAACGCATGACTCTTAATGAAAACTGTATTATCTGGCATAAAAACATTTTACGCTCGTTTCCAGCGCTGGTTATGAAATTAAATCATAATTTACACACGCTGACTTAAATCAGACTGTGAGCTCGTGAAATCGCAATAAAAATTATTAGACTCGTTACAGCCTTTCCTTGTTGGACCATTTTTTTTTGCATTAGAACCCGTTCTCAGGAACAATGACATCATAAATACAGAAGCGATTTTTCATTCGCATCATAAGCGTTTACTTTCCCTTGCTTCTTGCTTCTTCTTGTTTTTTTTTTTGTGTTGTTTAAATGGTGACCACTTTTTTTTATTAAAACACCTATATTAATTTTCTTTATTAATTTTCGAATCTTATTTTAACAACAACAAACAAAAACCGCTAATAAACTATACTTCTACTGTAAAAAAATAGATGTGAGATGATAATGTTTTAATACTCACCAAATGTGTTATACAGGAGTTTCTCAAAAGCGATCGACTAATATGGCTTGAATTACGTATATGAACTTATTTTAACGGGCATTCATTTATATTTCTAATTTGCTCTAAAGATACAGATAGGCCTGGAACCCTCCTGATTCGCTTGGTGGGTGAGCCCATTTAACATGTTTAGCACCACCTTTGCCATCTTCCACTTTCACTGAGATCCAAATACCCTGCTTCTTTAGGCACAGTGACCTCGTAGGATTATCGGATCTTGACCCGAGAAAAAAGCTACCTTGCTGAATGTATATAGATATCTGCTAACTGCTAATAACTCTTTACAATATACTTACGAAGAGGAAGGGTAGACCTAAGAAAATATGGATGGATTGCGTGAAAGACGCATATGTGTAAGAGGGGAGTGACCAAAGAAATGGTATATGACAGAGGAGTATGGAGGGAGAAAACTTGTTGCGCCGATCCCAGGTGACTGGGAGACATGTAAGAGAATGATGAGTATCCTTACGAAGAGATCAAATGTCTCATCCAGTGTCATAGTGCTGCGGATATGCTAAGGAAATTTATTCTGCAGTTTAATGATCCACAGCAAAAACTTATCTCTTTTATACTGTGTATGACTGAGATGATACCAGATAATTAGCTCGATCTATACCTTCATTAAAGACTGTGTTTGTAAAAAGAAATTGAGAGATTCAACGCAAACAGATCTCAGAGCACGCCTTAAAGAACACACAGTACCATATATGGATATACGCTAAGCCACACCTGTGCTTGGTAAAGTAGAATTTCAAAACAATAATAGAGTTCACTTAGCACTTTTAAGGGTGGTTTCAACTTCCACAAACTTATATATCTACGTGTTATATACCACTTAGTTGCTCCAAAAAACTGGTGGTAGGACCTCTTGTGAGTCCGCGCGGGTAGGTACCACCACCCTGCCTATTTCTGTCGTGAAGCAGTAATGCGTTTCGGTTTGAACGGTGGGGTAGCCGTCGTAACTATACTTGAGACCTTAGAACTTATATCTCAAGGTGGGTGGCGCATTTACGTTGTAGATGTCTATGGGCTCCAGTAACTACTAACACCAGGTGGGCTGTGAGCTCGTCCACCCATCCATTTAAGTAACATAAAAAAAAAGTTTGCCATGCTTTTTAATCAATGATTTCCTTTGCATAATTAGTACGCTAATCGGGTTGTTGTCTCTGCTCAGTAGAACTATGGACTGGGCATTTTTGTTTGATATAATAACCCAGATTTCTTGATATTGTTTTTCATGCGATTCATATTTTATTAGACTATCTACATTCGCTAATGATTACTGCTACACTATCACACGCATTTAGCGGCCACTCATCTAAGGAATAAAAAAAAAATATATACTATGAGTTCCATAAAAACCGAACGTCAATCAATTTTTTTTTTTTTTTTAATGTGATCAAAGCATAAATGTTTCACATGAACAACGATAGTGCGTTGTTCGCGTTTACGATGCTCATAAAAATCGGAGGCTCTTTGGCTAGTTCGTGGAGTGGAGATTTTATTTGCACAACGCACCCGACATCTGTTGTTATCTTACGACAGTTTATGTGATCGTAGATTTATTCATATATACGGATACGTGCAATCGTAAATGTACGAATTTATACATCGATAAAATTTATATGTAGATATCCTGTTTCGATGATTGTAATGTTTGAAAACGTAAATTACGCGCCTATCTCGCATGTTGGTAGGACCACTTGTGAGTCCGCGCGGGTAGGTACCACCGCCCTGCCTATTTCTGCCGTGAAGCAGTAATGCGTTTCGGTTTGAAGGGTGGGGCAGCCGTTGTAACTATACTGAGACTTTAGAACTTGTATCTCAAGGTGGGTGGCGCGTCTACGTTGTAGATGTCTATGGGCTCCAGTAACCACTTAACACCAGGTGGGCTGTGAGATCGTCCACCCATCTAAGCAATAAAAAAAAAATAAAAAAAATGTTGAGCAAACTTTTGTCACAATCTTATTACATTTCTTATTTATACGTTATATCGGAATGATTTCTCTTATTTACCAAAAACGTATCTTTTATGAAAACTAAGGTAAAAGGAAAACATTCGCAGCCAAAAGTATACATAGTCGAAAACATTCTGGACCACATCTCATGTTTGTCGTACATTTTAATATCACTAATACATTATCCGTATTGATTTCCGACAATGGCCAGCGTTTTCCTTTGACCACGTAAACATATCATTCCGCGTCTTTACTATCTCAAAAGGGCCTGATTCACTCGTCTGTTATAAGTAAACCTTTCATGTATGTTTTATTCGCAATATTTTGATGGAGCCCCCCAGTATCATTCAAATGACATATTGGCGAAACGCTCGACGATATGCTTGATCGAGAAAATATACAGTTTTCTTTCGAGAGCAAAACCAAATAACATCGAGTCGTGAACCAATATCGCGGATTGATTCCGCAAAAGCGGTTTCCATTTAATCTCTTTTTTTTTTAAGTAAACAAAAATTAAACATTCACTTATGTGTTGTGATTTAAAAGTAGAACTTATGTTCTATTTTTATAATCTTTATAGACTTTTTACTTTTTAATTACGCCTCCAAAAAATTCCGGCTTCGTCTTAGACGTCTAAAAAAATTATTATTCTTCGTAATAAAAATAATAAGGAAAATGAATTAATGAATTAAGGAATCGCCTCCAAATAAATTCCACTTCAATTGACTATGATAATCACTTAATGATAATTGATCATTAATTTTCGAGTATCTAAGTTGGAATAGCAAAGATATGATTTCGGGAATAATAATGAGATCGTTTTAACAATCATCGGAATTTCAGAGAAGTTTGTCCAACATTTTTGTTAGTAGATAATTTTAGTTATTCGGCAGGTTTAATTTTTAAAATTCATTAGGTTTATAATGAATTTTATGCTCCAAATAGTTAAAACAATTATAAAAGTATTCCTACACTAACAAATGCAACTAAATTTTTACTCTATTTTCTAAACGACACATTTCATTTTCCTTTAAAATGAAACGCAAAAAAAAATATTTTAATCTATGTGACACAGACGTTTTGTGAAATTCTTAAAATTCAATTTTAATTGACGACATCTCTTTATATCTGACAGTATTCTTCCGCGGAATGTTTCCATCTTTACTGTTTTGTTGTGAAAAATGTTATTTAATTTCGAGCAATTATTACTCGCGCTCTACGGAATTACCCCGAGGAATAAGACTTGCGCGAGTGTTGCTTTTATTTCGGTGAAAATGGGTTTTTTTTTTCTACAACGAAAGCCTCGTGCTGAAAATGAGGCAGAGGGATCTGTTTTAACAGTCTTTCACTTTAACGAGATAAGTTCAGTTATTAAAATTTGCCAGAACATCTTGTATACTCTGTTAAAATGAACCGGACCAATTCCAGCCGAATTCTTCATAGTTTATATACAAACCACTTCGGTAGTTTTTTTTTTTTTATTGCCTTTGTAGGCAGACGGGCATACACAGGGTAGTCTACGCAGATGACCTTTAGGTACACAAACATTCATTTACGTATCGTAGGTAAGATTTTCGAATTCAATAAGTGCCGGAGATGAGTGATACGTTCGCGGCAGGTGTATTACAGACGAGACACGCGCGCTATACAAAATCTTGTCGTCTTGTTTCATTCGTACATTTGCTTTATTACGTAACGTGATTTATATGTTGGCCCGGTGCGTTTAACTGCTGAGGTCTGTCATTTCGCCGTCTTAAATTGAGATTGATCCCGGGGAAGGGCGGCTTGACATGTGCGTTGGTGTGTCGCGAAATTGTGTTTTTGTTTTATTTCGTTACCTTCCACCTTTGTTCGTAAGGGGACGAGACGCACACACACGCAAAGTTACCTGAGAACATATTTTAGATCTTATTTTTCGCTTCTTCAAATTCTGATGGACATGTTTGCTTAAAGAAAACGCGCGTATTATACACCTTTAAGAGTTCAAATTGATATAGACATTTCGTGAGTGGTCATGAATATTTAATGGTCCTTCGTTTTCAATGGTAATAGTAATAGCACTTGAGTTTTTTGTTTTTTTTTTTATTGCTTAGATGGCTGGACGAGCTCACAGCCCACCTGATGTTAAGTGGTTACTGGAGCCCATAGACATCCACAACTTAAATGCGCCACCCACCTTGAGATATAAGTTCTAAGGTCTCAGTATAGTTATTGCTATACATTACATAGTTATTGAGTATTTGGATCCTCTTTCAGTTCTAGACAGGCAATAACAAACCTTTTTTTTGTGTGGTAATTTTTAAAATCGAATGGAATGGATTGATGATTTGTTGCTTTTTGTTACAGAGAGGCTCCGACGAGCTTCTGTCGCAGAGTGGCGTCACCGTCATGGCGCCCGCCGCTCCGCACCACGCCGACAATAACAATCAGGACTCTGCTGCCAAGAAGGTAATTCTAGCCAACTAACATTGAAACAGTCTTGCGTCTTATCCATCAGCTTATTTATAGTGGTAATGCACGGTTTAGTTTTCGCAGTCACGGGCAGCTGGATCTGAATGTTTATGTTAAACTTTCCCTTATCATAATAATATATGCAACATAAAATAGCTTAGACAACATTGTGCTTCGAGCAAAAAAGGTTTTAATAAACTTAACTTTGGTCAATAAATTAAAAAAAGTAATAGAATGGAATCATTTATTATTAGAAATAGAACATCCAGTTTTGTTTCTGATAAGGTTTTATCAGTACGGCGTGCTATGAAACTGCACAGCTAGATTATTCTGTTTATCAGATTGAGACTCCAACCTCACGTCTCAAGACAGATCAGTACTTACTAGTCGATGATACCAGGTCTATCCGAAGCATGAAAAACTTGAAATTAACGCTATTAAGAACAAGTGCATACGTAAAATTGAGTTTTCATAACAATCGCTTGATGCAATACAAAGACACTTCACATAAAAAAGCGGCAAACGAGTTCGTGGATTGTGTAATTAACTGAAAAACGATTAATCGCGATAAAAACGATAAAACGACGAAATCGCGAAACCGTAATAAGTATTAAAATAAAAGGGCCCTCATAAAAAGCCAACGTGCCATAAAAGGCTTCCCCAATGGCTTGGAGGGTCAAATTTTTATTAATCTCTACCTCCAAATTTCGATCGGACAGATTTTACATGTGGAATTGAAATGACGTTGATGGCTCTCGGAATCGGGATCCCTTTGGCTACCGTTTTTTTTTTTTTTTTTTTTTTCTATTTGACAAATGTGATATTTCATAGTCATTGTTCTTTTACGCGCTTTATATGTTATGCAATGATCGTCTTATTAGTTAAGTGGTTCATGAGTCAGGTTACCGTAGCACGGAATCATGGTTCGTTTCCTGTTTCGTTAATATCTCCGTCAGATATTTGATTCTGAGGCTGTTTCTTTGCATCGCGTCTCCGGCACCGGTGAAAATATCTTAGTAAATTGAATTCATTGAACGTGGAAAGGCTGTGAATGATAACGGCAATTTCAAAGATCGGCCAATGATCGAAATTAGATTACAATTATTGGCACTTCGAGATTTTTTCATTTTATTTTAGGTTTTTTTGTTTTATTTATAAGACTGTTTTCAAAACATTTGTATTTAAACTCAAGCTCGTCAATAGCTTTTAAATGAGTGAAATAAAATAAAATCGGAGACAAAGGAGAAAATAGCACTTAACCTTTAGGTATTTTCGCTATTTACGAACAGATTTTCACTAAAGTCTTCCCTTACATATAACGATTGTAATCTAGAATTTTCTCTGTATATTACAGATGTACAAATGTAATTTATAACGTTTACGTAACTCCTGTGATGCCTCATCGAATAGACTCCCATAAAATTTTCACGTCACTACGGTCTGTAAGTAAAACCATTGTGAACCTATAAACTTCAGTTCAGAGTACAATATTCATAAAACAACATATCTCATGAGCAACCGTTATGCCATTTTCATGGCTCTATTCACCTATCATTCGTTCTTTAGAAAATAATTTATGTTTTTCGGTATGTACCTGTTTATTTTTATAGCTTTGAATGTAAAAACGGCTGTCTAATTTTTATTGGCACCTTGAGACTTATAGTAAAACAAGATAATGTAAAATTATCGTATCAATTTCAAAATTACTTGTTAATAAATGTAAATACTTTAATAAAATTTTAAAATAAATATTAAGAACAATATTAAACTATTCAGAATTATATCCAATTCTTTTGCAAAACAGAAAAGTAGTAAAGTTTAAAGCATAAGGCACAACAGCGTTTGACGTTTTAAAAAGTTTAATTGAAAAACGTATGCCGAAGTTTCCATTGAAAAACACTAAACAGTAGGCACTTTAACAAAGCCTTCTTTACGTTCCATGTAAAAAGGTTTTTATGCTTCGTTCTTAAATACGGCGCGGCGTGGAGTTTTAAAAGCGACAATTTTAATTCACGACACAAATGCACAAAAGGATGGAGAGTAGAAAACAATCAACGTCAAAGAAACTACCCCGGAAAAAAATATGTAAGCAAGGTCGCGCATTTCGGGGTCTTTTCCCGTTGCACAGTTGTTCCATCGTGTATTTACATAAATACGGAGCGGGTTTTGCATGCACACTTTGTTTGCCGCTGTGCAAACATGCTCTTTGTTTGCGGAGACCGCTGCTGTCCGCGTGCCGACCACCAAACGGATTGCATCGTCCATTAAAACACGTTACGGGGACGATGTTACACAATTCAATTCAGAAGCGTTTTCGTCTAGTTTTGTGGTTTTCTAGTAATCTCTATTAATGTACGTGAAAGAAATCCAAACTAAAACCTTCGATATTTTTTGCATTTTTTTTAAATTAATAAAATTAGATAATCTACGTATTTTGTTTTACAAGGGCGTCAGATTTTAATGTTAAGTAATCCAAAAACCTACAACATATTATTTACATACATTTCGGTCTGATGAAAAAATAATAATATTGAAATTACAGGCAACGAAATAAATAGGCAAGATGTTTGCATCTGAGCCTACCACCATCTACTAGAATAGTACAATTTCGATTAATCTTCATCCTCTCGACTTTATTGCAACAATATGAAATCAAAATTAAATGTAAGCAAAAACACTGACGGAAAGTTCAAACAAGATATGACGGATTCGGGAAGATGATTCTAAATACACGGTAATGTTTTTTCACGAAAATTAAAACCATTGAGAGTCTGTTCTTCAGTGTTACATACCCGTCTATTTTCATTCGTCAAGGTAATTGGTTTGTATAATGTTTCTTTTAAGAGCTGAATGATATCTTCTCAGAAGGAAAATGTGCGTATAACAAGTCATTATAATTTAGTCGTCAGATATCTTTTAAGATATGTATCTCTTTGAATGTTAATCATATTATCCCAATTGGATAGGTATCTTATTTTTCTCTTTGTAATTTTAAAACAATTATAAATTTTAAAATAATATTTAATATTTTTATTCTTAATATTTAATATTATTTTAATGTTAAAGCCGCCCTGAAATTTCAATACAGAATTTAATTATATGAATGAGCACTAGTCGAAGAGGAGCTCGTATTTTCAAAACGCATTACCGACGTCGGTAAATAGCTTTCCATTTAAAAATCGTACCTTATTGAAATACGTTCTTATGTACCAAACTCCTTAGGTATCATTTACGTAAATTAAATAGAAACGAACCGTCCTGTTGAAAAGGAACCATTTTCTTATTCTTTCCCTCGGGCAGTTTATTTTCCCCGCTGTCACCGGTCATTATGTCAGACTGAAAATAAAATATAATATCGTGCCTGGTTTACGAGAAGAAAAATATTTAAGCATCTCCGTTCATCTTTGAATAAATATGGCATTGGAAATAATTTAATTATTAAACGGTCATATTATAACTTATACGGTTTCTAACAGAATCGTAGATAGGGTTTTTGTATTTCTGCACGGTAATCTTCGCAATTCTATTCTATTCGATGAGCTCACAGACGGCCACTGCTAGACATAGGCCTCCCCTAAGCCTCGCCGCGAAGATTGATCCTGCGCTGCTTGCATCCAGCGGATCCCCGCGAACCTTAATAGGTCGTCGGTCCACCTTGCGATAGGTTTACCTACGCTACGTCTTCCGGTACGCAAGTCTTTGCAATGACTGAACAAATGTTCACGATTGACTTCCGCGGTGAAGGAATAATATCGTGTAATAAAAATCAAACCCGCAAAATTATAATTTGCGTAATTACTAGTGGTAGGACCTCTTGTGAGTCCGCACGGGTAGGTACCACCACCCTGCCTATTTCTGCCGTGAAGCAGTAATGCGTTTCGGTTTGAAGGGTAGGGGAGCCATTGTAACTATACTGAGTCTTTAGAACTCATATCTCAAGGTGGGTGGGTGTCTATGGGCTCTGGTAACCACTTAACACCAGGTGAGCTGTGAGATAGTCCACCCATCTATGCAATAATAAAAAAATTACTTTGGATTCAAAATAATTCTTAACTAAATAATAAAGTTAAAAATTAAATGATTATTGTTTTTTTTCGTTTTTTCCGTCATCAACTATTCATTGGATGTAGTAACTGTACTTCTTAATTTTTTCAACGAATCCTCTAAATTTTAATGCTAAACCCAATTTTTCGGAATAAATTTACGTACAAATAACGAATCTGAACTAAGCGTCGCAAAAAACGAACGCCCAGTATCTCTCTCTGTAAGCAAAACAAGGTATTTTAGTTGAGCAACATTTTGCTGGCCATTTACTCTCACTTGTTCGGGGTCGGGGTGAAAAAACTCCGCCGCAGTAATCTTAATTACATTGTGATCTCGTTACAGCTTGGCCCTAATTCATAATTAAACAGGGACGTGTCGCTGTCTTTCTTATTTATTTGCCATTTTATGGTTTAGCAATGGCGAGGCAATTTTTTTCCGCTGTGAAAATTTATAAGACGCCTCTCGCGACACCCCTTCTTCTTTGTTACTCTGAATATTCATTTGGGAGGCTATCGGCGACTCGTTTTAAAAGTATTTTTATGCCCATTCTTTGCATCGCCCAGGGAGCAAGGAATGTTATTAAATAAGTAAAATATTAAACATCTGTTTCTCTTGCTATTTTTTTATTCGTTTTTTTTACACAACTGCATGTGACTATGTACAAGTCTATAAACGGCAACCAACTTATAGTATTCCGTCACTAGGTAGTTATTAAGTTAGGTCGTTTAAGATATAATGCTGGCTAAAAAAATATATTTTATTCTATAAGAAATATCATATAAAATATTTTTAATTTCATATTATAAACAGAATACAAAAAAGGTAGGGTTTTTGTAATAATCGAAATTCTCTAACGGGTATTATTTCTAATATAATCCGAATATGGAATGCCTGTATGTCGCCATATAACTTATGTGTAAAAACTTCAGACGCCAAGCTATTTAAAGAGTATG